CGGCGGGGGTCGGCCGGGCTGCTGCTGGGCTGGGGCAAGAGTGAAAGGGGGGGGTGAGGAACTGGGACTCGAGGAACTGGGACTCTGCGGAAAGAAACCCTCTTCTTGGGCAGAGGCAGCGCCTCAGGGGGCTTATTTTGCCTGCACGCCCGGTTGGTCGTGATCGCTCAAAAGCAGACACGTCTTCAGCTTGGCGTTTGTTTGGTTTGGCTGCAAGAGCAACAGGAAACATGAAGTTCTCGCGAGGCCTACAGTCACCTCTCTAAAAGTGAGAATTAGCTCATTTAACATAACCCCAAGTAAGTAACTCACTTAGAAACGTGACCCGTGCTGGGCAGTTCCCATCGGGAGGTGCTGCGGGAGGCACCAGCAGGAGCAGCACGGGAACCTGCTGCTTCAGCACCAACCTCGGCCTTGGGGCTTCAGGCCCCAACAGGCCTCCCAGGTCTGGGTGAGCAGAAGTCTCATCGGTGGTTGCTCATCCAGAGCGTGTGTTGGGTTTCCAGGCTTTCCCTTTCCTCTTGTTCCTGGGTGCCTGCAGGAGGAACCGAGGAGAACAGCCCACCCATAAGGGAGCTTTGTTTGTTGGAGGGTGGCCACTGGCCCAGCCTGGCTTCACATAAGCAAGTAGGAGAGTTTAGAGGTGACTGGTGCTGCCCCTCAGAACTCTGGTGATGGGGGAAATGGTGCAGGTGACATAGGGAGTCCTGGCAACTGTGTGAAATGGATTAAGTCACTGGGACTCCAAAATGCAGAGTCCCTGTGTGATTTGGCAGGGCACACCTCTTGACTCTTTACTGAGAAACTCCAGCTGGGGCTGAGACACCATGTCCTTCCCTTGCAGCTGCCACCAGACAGTCCCCAAGGACTGTTTCAAACCCTAGACCCCTTCCCCTCTCTCTCTGCGTGCAGGATAAGAGGCGTTAGTGAGGGGGAAGCTCCACACAGGCTGTGTGGAGCTCCTGATAGCATCAGTCTCCCTTTGTTCCCTAGAAGCTCACTGGTGTCTTTGGGGCACCCTGTTGCCCCTCAGAAAAGCCCCATCTGTGAGCTGCTAACAAACTGAATTCACATGTGCTATGCAGAAGCCTTCAGCTGTTGTCTCACTAAGTTACTGAATTCAGGGAATGTTACCAAAAAAAAAAAAAACAAACAGCTGTGGGGACTAAAACCATGGCTTAAAATAGCACTGGCTTGCAGGCTCCTTCCTGTATTATACAAACATTTAGCCATTATAGACATTAAACTCCTAAAATCCCTCTAAGTCCTTTCTAATAAAATTTCTGCAGCAAAAATGCTTCGCGAGACATTAAATGACATGTTCTTATTATTAACATACTGTTTGTTCCTGCTAACACCTTAAACTAAAGAGCCTGCCCTTTTTGGGGAATGGCTAGAAGACTTCATGTCTGAGAGGGGCAATGCTGAATGCAACCCTGATGATGATGAGCAGGCATGTTCACTTTTTCATGTAACACAGATCACTTTTTCATTCTGGGTGAAGGGTTATGCTAACATGGATTTATTGTGGAGAAAGCCTAAGCTGTCCATAGTTCTGTTGGGACAGGTGAGGACAGTGTGTGCTCCCAGCCCTGTGACCTCTGTGCATCCCCACCATGCTTCACTGAACAGCAGAAAGGAGAAAGCACAAAGGAGGCTTTCAGAGGGGTTGTCCAGAGCCCATCAGAGCTGTCACTGTTGCAGTCCCAGTTACATACCCCCTGTGCAGGTTATGGAGAACCCGCTCGTATAATCTGGCTGTGTTGGAGGCAGCTCAGCTGTCAGTCAGTCAGAAGTCTCTGCTTCAGCCAAGGCAGCAGAGGCAGTGAAAAGCTTCCTGAATTGCCACAGTTATCAATATCTGAGGAGGTTCCGAGAAAAGTACAAATGACTCGGCATCTTTGCTCCCACTCTGGCAGAGCCCCTTGGCAGTGGTTTAAATTTAGTGATGTTCTCTTTCTATTGCTAGTTTGTGTGGCATCTGCCTGCTAGAAGGGAGGAAGAGAGAGAACTGCTAAGTCATAAGTTGCTTAGAGACAGTTAAACCATCTGAGCAAAGTGCAAACCGACACCGCAGGAGAAATAGGAGCTGGGTCTGACCAGTCAGTGGAAGCTAGTGAAGCAGCAGCTGAAGTGGCTGTTGGTAATGACCCGTGTGAGAGCCTGGCTGCTCAATTAAGAGGAACATGTGTCTTATTTAACAATATTTTAAGTTTGCCTGTTGAAGTCAGTGGTGATCTGTCTTTTCCAAAGCAGATGATGGGCAGAAGTCTGAGCCCAGAAGGGTGCTAGATGAAGGGACAGCTGAAATTGAAAGGTGCAGTGTTTGGGCCTCCAGATACACTGCCTGCTGAGCATCATGGTGTAGTGTCACTTTGAGAAAAGCTGTCAGCCCCTGATAAATACCACAGTGCTACCAAAGTAATCTCCAAAGCATTCCAAAGAATACATTGACTACTGCGAGAGCAGGGACCCTGATTCCTAAGTGTCCTTGCAAATAAAATAAACCATAACATTAATGATCAGGATGAGATTTTAAAAGCTTTCAGAAAGTTAGGAACTCTACATTGGATCAGTAGCTTCCACTTCTTCATTGCATTTCTTTCAGCAGCTTTTCAAAGAACAAAGTAAGCAGTTAATCTGACATTTTTTAATCACTTTTTTTTTTTTTTTTTTTTAAATTTAATTTGCCTCCTGTTTCTTCTCTCTCACTGGAAGAGCAGGGTCACTTCTTGGTATGAATATGTACATTTGTTTCATGTATGAAAGTTCCTGTTTCTTATTTTGATCCCAGTTCAGGACAGAACTGTAAGGGACATTTTTTTAACACTTTTTTTTTTTTTTTTTTTTAAATTTAATTTGCCTCCTGTTTCTTCTCTCTCACTGGAAGAGCAGGGTCACTTCTTGGTATGAATATGTACATTTGTTTCATGTATGAAAGTTCCTGTTTCTTATTTTGATCCCAGTTCAGGACAGAACTGTAAGGGAAGCTGTGTAGGAGTCTAAAGGTTGGGTAGTACTTGTATTGCTTCATTTCAGGTACATAATCAAGTGTATCTTGAATAGGGATGTTTTTCTAAACAGAGACATTTATGGTATCCCATAACTTCATATTTTAGTAATTTACTGATCTGGTTAATTAAATCCATATACTGCATACAGAGTATACAAGTTCAATGTGATGTTGCGCTGTGAGATGCAACTGCCAACAGAAATAGAAATCTCTATATGAAGAAGATCACAGAATCACAGAATAGCTGAGGTTGGAAAGGACCTCTGAAGGTCATCTGGTCCAACACTTCTGCTCAAGCAGGGCCACCTAAAGCCAGTTGTCCAGGGTCATATCCACGTGACTTTTGAATATCTCAAGGAGTGAGACTCTACAACCTCCATGAGCAACTTGTGCCAGTGTTTCATCACCCACAGAGTAGAAAACTGTTTCCTGATGTTCAGACAGACCCTGCACTGTTTCACTTTGTGTCCATTGCCTCTTGTTGTATCTTCTGGGCACAATCGAAATGAGCCTGGCTCCATCTTCTTTACACTCTCCCTTCAGCTATTTATACACATCGGTAAGATTCCCCCTGAGCCTTCTCCAGATTGAACAGTCCCAGCTCTCTCAGCCTTTCCTTGTAGGAGAGATGCTTTGGTCCATGAATTGTATTTGTGGCCTTCTGCTGGACTCTGTCCACTATGTCCACAGCTCACTTGTACTGAGGAGTCCAGAGCTGGACAGGCGTGGCCTCACTAGTGCTGAGCAGAATGGAAGGTTCACTTTCTTCAACCTCTCTAAGCACAGCATTGCTAGCCAGTCAAGGGAGGTGATTGTTTCACTCTACACTGCACTGGTGTGGCCCCACCTTGACTACTGTGTGCAGTTTTGGGGCAGCTCAATGTAAGAAGGACGTCAGACTATTGATGTGTGTCTAGAGGAAAGCAACCAAGATGGTAAAAGGCCTCAAGGGCAAGACTTACTAGAAGTGACTGAGCTAATGCAGCTTGTTTAGCTTGGAGAAGATTGAGTGGTGACCTCGTTGCAGTCTGCAACTTCCTCAAGGGGAAGCAGTAGAGGGGAAGGTGCTGGTCTGCTCTCTCTGGTCACCAGTAGTAGGACAGTGGGAAACGGAATGAAGCTGCATCAGAAGAAGTTCACATTAGGACATTAGGAAAAGATTCTTCACTGAGAGGGTGGTCAGTCACTGGAACAGGCTTCCCAGGCAAGCAGTTATGGCATCAAGCCTGACAGAGTTCAGGGAGCATCTGGACAATGCTTTTAGTCATATGATTTAGTTTTAGGTAGCTCTGTGAGCAGCAGGGAGTTGGACTAGATGATTCTTATGGGTCTCTTCCAACTCGAGGTACTCTGATTCTGTTATCTGCTTTGCCTAATGCAGCCCAGGATACCATTGCCTTCTTTGCAGCAACGGTATGTTGCTGGCTCATGTTCAACTTGGTGTCCACCAGAACCTGCAGGACCTTGTCTGCAAAGCTGTTTCCAGCTAGGTGGGCTCTTCCTCCCCAGGTGCAGGACTTTGCACTTCCCCTTGTTGAACTTCATGAGGTTCCTTCAGCCCATTTCTCCAGCCTATCCAGGTCTCACTGAATGGCAACACAACTCTGGTGTATCAGCCACTCCTCCTACTTCTGTGTCATCTGTAACTTGCTAAGGATACAGTTTGCCCCATCACCCAGAACATTAATTAAGATGTTGAACAGGACTAGACAAGAGTATTGACCCCAGGGTACACTGCTAGTTAAAGGCCTCAACTAGACTTTGTGCCACTTATCACTGCCCTCTGCACCTGGCCATTCAGCCAATTTTCAGTCCACCTCACTGTCTGCTCAACCAGCCTGTACTTCAACAACTTCTCTATGAGGATCTTATGGGAAACAGTGTTGAAAACCTTATCCAAGTCTAAGTACACAATATCCATGGCTCTCCCCTTGTGTACCAGCCAATTGTTTCATCATAGAAGGTTACTGAGTTGGTCAAGCACAACTTTCCACTGGTGAATCCCTTCTGAGCAGACCTGATTTTTTTTCTTCTTGTTCATGTACCTGGAAATGTTTTCCAGGATTAGTGCTCCATCACCTTCCCAGGGATTGAGATGAGGCTGACCAGACTGTAGTTCCCTGGGTCTTCCTTCTTGCCCTTTCTGAAGATAGGACTGACATTTGCTTTCCTCCCGTCTATGGTTACTTCTCCCAATCAGCATGATCAATCAAAGATTATCAAGAGTAGCCTTGCAATGCCATCTGCCAGCTACCTTGGCACACATGGGTGCATCCCATCAGGCACCTGGACCTAGATAAAAAGTTGCTGAGGGGTTTCCTAGTCAAGAACAAATGGCATTGCCTTGCAAGATGTGAATCCTATGAATCTGAGATCTTTGTTCACTACTCTGAGTTATCTTAGAGTGAACATTCAGATGCGTGCATTGCAGTCTCACTTGCACATGGGGCACTTAATAAAGTTTGTCACACCTGGCACAAGGGTCTGCTGGATAAAGCAGAGGTTGCGTCTTGCAGAGGATGAACAATCCAGGTAAGGAATACTGAAATGTTTCTTAGGAGATAATTTTCTCATTTCAACAATTTCAAAGACACAGCAATAAATCCTTATGCCTGCTGCAGCTCTACCCAACTGAAAAGGATATATTTTTTTCACAACACAGATGTTTATCCCCCAAATATGGAAAAAATGCATTGCTTTAACATTTCTGCTGTGTGTTTGTTTTACCAAGAATGATGTTTCAGAGAACGATGAAATGTCCCTTTTAGGTCAGTCAGGTGAAGGTCAATGAGAAGATAATAGAGCACAGAGCAGAGATACTATTTTTCTGATATACTAACAAGTGAAAGGAGAAGATATGTCAGATCTGAACTTTGAAAACTCTACTGACTCAGTGTGCTCCTTTATAAGCTTGCATATATGGAACTGTAGTGGGTTTAGCATGTGTGTTAGACCTTGAGGAGGCTTACATTAAATGTGTAAGGAGGAAGACCAAATCTTTTTGCATTGCTGGGAATGGTAGGGAATGACTACATATGACCATATCTTACACAACAATTTACCTGTGATTTATGGAACAAAAACATCTCTATATGACCCCTCCTAAGTATGTAACATAAAAAGGGATTGCCTAATCATAGACATGTGCAGTGCAGTGATACAGAGACAATTACGTGCTCATAAGGAACAAAGTGTATTTTAAAATTACTCCCCATCATTTTCTTCTTCAAACGAGTCAGTTCCCACTTCTTCATAGTCTTTCTCCAGGGCAGCCAGGTCCTCTCGGGCCTCTGCAAACTCTCCCTCCTCCATGCCTTCACCCACATACCAGTGCACAAAAGCTCTCTTGGCATACATCAGATCAAACTTGTGGTCGAGCCTTGCCCAAGCCTCTGCAATGGCCGTGGTGTTGCTCAGCATGCAGACTGCTCGCTGAACTCTGGCCAGGTCTCCACCAGGAACTACTGTGGGAGGCTGGTAGTTGATCCCAACCTGGAAACAAGAAGACGAGAGAAGACTGTCACGAGGCAAGAGCAGAAAGCAGTCCAAGAGCTGAAAAACTATGAGTGAAGTGAGAGATGCTGGGGTACAGTAGTGCCCACTATCAAAACTAGGATATGGCAAATGCCATGAAAAATACTGATGTCAGAAACAGTGTGACACTTGGTGATTTAATGTCTGTGTCATTCTTCTGTTTATATGCACCCTGGCAACTGTGTATCTTTCTTAGCAGTTTCTCAGCACTGAACATTCAGTTTCACCAAGATACTCTAGAGAAACTAATACAGAAAGTTGGTTCTCAGTTTGAAGTTTTCATTGTTAAACCAAACATTGATATGACAAATCATTTTCCCCTGCTAATTTCTGTATTATTGCTGAAACTTTGTTTCCCAACACTGCTATGGAGCCAGTGGGGAGAGGCTGCATAATATTTCTGGGTAAGGGTGTTGACTGACAGATGCCCCCATATCAGCATTTCTTTTTTAAATTGTATTGGGTTTTGTATTTCCTTAGATACAGATGGTGCTTCAGAAGGAACACTCACTGGCTTTTGCAAAATTCATGTCTGAACTGAATACACTTCACATTCCCACTTAGATAAATATTTAGGAGTCTATACCAATGGGATGCCTAAAATGAGAATGGGCACATTTATACATATGCACCTTAAGTTCCTTCACCTCAAAGATGGGGAACGTGCAAGATCTAAAACTTTACATTTTCCACTAGGCTGAACTTGCCCTTGAAACCTTAAAGAAAAGCTCAAAGAGCAGCCCTGCTCACCTTGAAGCCTGTTGGGCACCAGTCAACAAACTGGATAGTTCTCTTGGTCTTGATGGCAGCAATTGCTACGTTGACGTCCTTGGGAACAACGTCCCCACGGTAGAGCATGCAGCAAGCCATGTACTTCCCGTGCCTTGGGTCACACTTCACCATCTGGTTGCTGGGCTCAAAGCAGGCGTTGGTGATTTCAGCCACCGAGAGCTGCTCATGATGTGCTCTGTCAGAGGAGATGATGGGGGCATAGGTCACTAAGGGGAAGTGGATGCGTGGGTAGGGCACTAGATTTGTCTGGAACTCTGTCAGATCCACATTGAGGGCCCCGTCAAAGCGCAGCGAGGCGGTGATGGAGGAGACGATCTGGCTGATGAGGCGGTTGAGGTTGGTGTAGGTGGGGCGCTCGATGTCCAGGTTTCGGCGGCAGATGTCGTAGATGGCCTCGTTATCCACCATGAAGGCACAGTCCGAGTGCTCCAGGGTGGTGTGTGTGGTGAGGATGGAATTGTAGGGCTCCACCACAGCAGTGGAGACCTGAGGGGCTGGGTAGATGGCAAACTCCAGTTTGGACTTCTTTCCATAATCCACGGAGAGGCGTTCCATCAATAAGGAGGTAAAGCCAGAGCCGGTGCCCCCACCAAAGCTGTGGAAGATCAGGAATCCTTGCAGCCCAGAACAGGCATCAGTCTACAAAGCATAAGAGAAAGTGAAAGAATAGGGGCTGAAGAGGAATGAAAGGACTTCATGTACTACATGAGCTTGTTCTGAACTGAAAGAGCAGTTGTCAGCAATGCACAGCACAGTTTTCATGTCAAGTTTTATTGAGAAAGGGCTGGCAATAATCCTATCCTTTTACTTCCTTCACTGGCTGAACTTACTACATAAAAATTGGACTTTTACCTGTGGAGCTTCTATCTCTGATCTTCACACTTCTTTTGGTTAGTCTAGCTGAAGCAAGCAATGTAGAACTGCCTAATCCACCCTTCTGTATCAGTATTTGGGCTCCAGGGCTGTGCTAATAATGAAGAATTACATATTCAGAACCACTTTTAAAGGCTATCTGAAGCCATATAGCTGGGAAGTGAACTACTGGGCTTCTCTCCCTTGGACTTGAAATGATGCCTCTCTGTGTCTTGCAGTCTTTTTTTTTCTGAACAATTCGTATCATCTGTAGTTAAGAAGCTACCTATTCTGCTCATCTTTCTTCTGCAGAATCCAAACTGCTGTTTCAAAACTAATGGGACTTACCAGTTTACGGACACGATCGAGCACCATATCAATGCTTTCTTTGCCAATGGTGTAGTGGCCACGGGCATAGTTATTAGCTGCATCTTCCTTTCCAGTGATCAGCTGTTCTGGATGGAAAAGTTCCCGGAAGGTGCCAGCCCGCACTTCATCTGCACATGAAAGAGAATTTGTGAGAGGCTGCATGTCTGTGCCCAAATG